AAACACTGCACTCATTCTCAACACAGGTTTTGAATGACACACCACAACTCACATATCTCTTCACTATAATGTTATATTTCCATGTTTCAGATGAAAGACTATTGGTTAGGTGTTTTGTAAAGCAAATATGAGTCACAACTGCAGCAAAAGAACTATGTCTAATCAGGTTGACAAAGCATGTTTAGTCAGCTCATATATTAGGATTCATTGTAATTTTGTGATTATGATGGGAAGAAAAGGAACAAAGGAAAACTACAAATATACACAAGTTTAGAACTGTAGGAAGCCAAAATTCAAAGTATTTTCACAGATTCTGCTGCTCATTTCTCCATGTTGAAGAGGAGGAGAGTGGTCAAGTATGTGTCAATTGCATTTTTAAAAATCATTTTTCCACATCTCTAATTTCCAAGTACTTGCTGAGCTATTGGCCTGGCTTGGGAATATTTTCCCCTTCAGTCAGCAGTAATGGTAATTGAAGCAGTTAATAAGGCAAGGCTTATCAATACATTTTGTCTCGTCACCAGCTCATTGCAACACTGCATTTAAATTCAGGAGATTCTGCAAAAGAATAATTTACAATTAGATAAGACTGTCTTAGAGAATCCAATTTCACCCTTCACCTCCTTCCACTCATGCCCCTCAACTTTTGGCATTTGCACCAAATGTTTGCCACTATACAAGACTTACCATAGCTTAAGAAGCTTTTGTTATTATTGTTAAATCTTTTATTAAAGAAAATATAACTTATTCGCTGTATTTTTAAAAAGAGATATAAACTTTTAACATTTTGGATATTAAGTATGGGGAGCTTTTACTTTGCACATTTTTATGATTCACTGTATTAATGCAATAAAGCTTAAATGAACAACTTAAAAGTTGGATGATGATGAGGAGGAGTTAGGTAGTTTTGATCATGTGTAGCAAAATGTGTCCTTGGAATCACCACTTAATGGCCATCCTGCAGGTGATAGCATCTGCCATCTTCATTTCCAAAGAATGTCTCTGAAGCCCACACGAAGCCCAAAGGGATTGATGGGAAAAGAAGCTGGCAGCAGTGGTTCCAGCTGCCAGAAAGATAGCTTGTCATTTTAAAAATTTAAAGCAGGAGATGTAAAACTCGTCAGTAAGCTATGAGAAAGGTGTCCGAGGGCACTCTGGTGCCCATGGGAGCCCTGTTGCCTAACTGTCCTGAGCTGGTCTCTCCCTCCCACTTGAAGAGAATGCGGAAGCACAACTCTATTATTGGAGCTTAACTGGTTACAGTGCAGGATAAATCAGAGTAGCCTTCTCCTACTGGAAGCACCTGCCCAGGTAAAGAGCTGAAGCATGCCTTCCTTCCATCCTTCTCTCCCTCCCTTCCAGAAAAGATTCTGACTCCGCCTTCTGGGTGGCCCCTGCTGCTTGTGGGCTTCACGGAAGGAAAGTGGTCCACTCATTTCGCCTGTCCCTTTCCTGACTGGTCAAGGAAGTCCTCCAGCTCTGAAATGCCTCCCCCATTTTCCAAGGGAGGCTGGTTTTCATGCTTTGCCTGAGAGCCCCCACTCGGTCAGCTTGAAACTGCCAAGTCTTCCACCCGCCTTCACTCTCCTGACACCTCCTCAGAATCAGATGAATCTAACTGAGCAGACTGTAACTGGCAAGAGCTGTGCCCCCTCTTAATTTAGATTCTCTATCCCAACACTTAAAAAAAAGAAATCTCTTTCTTAAAGTGTGCACCATTGCCTTAAATTTTATGAAATGAGCTCTAAAATGTTAAGGATGGGGTTGGTTAGTTTTTGGCTTCCGCAGGTCAACCAGCAGGAAACCAGAACCCTCTGGAATACATTGGAATCCATTAACTTCCATGGGCACACCATTTTAATCAGCTCCTCTCCCTTGCAAAGGCAGTGAAAGTCTAAACCTCAATCGGAAGTGAACCAACCACGCCAATAGGGTAGATGTTAATCCCCCCCATTTTCAGATCACCGTCGTCCTGCCCACTGAGCAAGCCAAATCAAGATTGTGTCCTGTTACATGTGTTAGACTGATGACATGTTGAGACAGCTGCATGGTTGTCATGGTAGCCATGAAGTCCTGAGCCGCCTGGGTCTTACAGCCTCAGCATGGAAGTTGTGATCTCCCAGAACCCTCATTCTAGGAATTTTCAAAACGAAATCAAGACCAGCTGTGGAAGCAGAGGCATGGGTGGGTGATAACCAACAGTATCCCATATTTATCTTAGGTACAGATACTGAAGATTGGTGCTTGAGTGGGCCGGAATCCTAGAGAGGAAGTTAGCATTCCTGTAGATTACAGCAACCCTCTCAACCCTCCAGCCACTGTTAGTGCTGCACGAAGTGTAGAACTTGATTACCTTTTCTATGTTACTCTTTATTCTTCCTTTATTATTTTAAAAATGCCTATCCTGCCTTTCAGGAATTGGGTTCTCTTTCAACAACCAGGTCACCCAAGGCAGGTCACAACCCTTTAAAAGACTATAAGTAGAAAAAATATTTCTAAAATATGATAAAGTCATAATTTGGAAAACAAACAGTCTTGCGTTGCCATCAAACTTAGAATTCCAAGCCATTCAGTACATCTGCCTTGTACTGTGATTGTGCAATCTAACAGAATAGAAATATGGGACATAGGTATAGATTAGTTTTGTTGGTTTTAGACTTTTACTGCTTTTTAAGCATTTTTATGGTGATAGCACCCTCTGCTTTTTATATGGAAAAGAAAAGGCATTGGCATGTCAGTTAAACAAACTAAACATTAGGCTCATAAAATACTGAAAGTGGGCAACATTAACAACTTATCTTGCCTAGAGGACATTCAAGAAAACACGGTTATGATAGCAAGGCTGTAAACCGATGCTTTAACTAGGAAAGCCTACCAAACTCTGGGATTTACTTCTGAGTAAGCATCCATAAATAGACTGTCAGTCTCAGTCAGCCTCATTTCATGGCTTTGCTAATAAGATATGTTGTTTGCTTTCATTATTGCAGCCTTGCTCAGGTTGAGTAATCAAGCAATGACAAGTCAACGGGTGTGCATGCATGTGTCTAGGCAGCCTCGTTCTCCCATCTCAAAATGTTTCTATTGATTACTTTTTTCTCATTATTTTCTCTTCGGTTCTATTTTATAGAGACTGGTAAAATAAGCTGGAATGCTGTACCTAGCTAATTGAAAGGTTGTTCTACTTAAGCTGCAGCCATTTCTTCCTCTGATACCATTTTAATTTTAATTTATATTATATATTCCCTAATGGCTGTGGCATATCAGTTTTAAAAAACGATGCACTCACTTTCTAGCATTGTAGCTTCTACCAGAAAGCTAATCAAATTCACTTTGTTCAAACATTGGTGTCTCTGTAGCAGAAAACTGTAAAGTATGTGTACATTAGTCACTGTCTAAAGCAGTTTGCCATGGGATTACTTGTGTAGTGGGGGAGCAGTGGTGACATCACGGTTGCCAAGTTAAGTGCAGAATGAATTTGAAAAAATAATGTCCTTGACTTATTTTGGCCTGTTCATCTTTTCTGCCTCGTGAATCTCTTAATTAATAGTGAAGTCTGTGGAGGGGGAGAGAGAAGCGGTCTGTCTCCCCAGGGGTTTCTGCATCCTTGCTGGGATTCCTTTTCAGACCTCTGTCTTACCAATTGCTAACTGTTTCACAACTACCCCCTTAAGTGCCTATGAATGCCCCCTTGTTAATCAGCTGGAAACTGTCACGGGTGATGCAAGCACCATCTCTTCTCTGCTAGGAGGCAGACATTCTAGCATCTCTATAAAAAGCCTGATTCTTGCTGCCTCAAACGGCCGATATAGGCAAGGTTTCAGCACTGAAGCTACCGACTGGGAACTCTCCACTGCCTTTAAGAGATGTCTGAAGGCAGTCTTGTAAATCTGCCATTTTGTTTAAACTGATGCTCTGCTGCTGTCATGTGTAAAATGCAAGGGAATTACATATTTAGCCAGTGCATTTCTTGTCTGAAAGCTTGTCTGACATTGAGTGAAGTTTAAACACGTTTTCCAATTTCACTTCCTTCCCTTCCTCAGTGCTAGCTAATACAATTGATGTATTGGGCTACCAGTAAAGAATTTCACAGGCATTTTTATAGTATCTTTCTTGTTAAATCTAAATAGAAAAGCATTGAAAGCCTTCGAATTTTTTACTTCAGTAAGCTATTTAAAACAGTAATTTTAATGAGAAATTCAGAGCTAGGTTTAGAGACATTTTAAAAATTAGCTGTGTCAAATAAGCCACCTCAATGAAAATGTTTATGTTAGAAATTGTGGACTCTTAATTCTAAAGTTATTCTGTGCAATCACAATTAAATTATACTTCTTTCTTGGAAGTGGCCAATGAAGGTTTCTTCATTGAAACATAGTTTCTAAAGCTATTTAAACAGTAATTAGTCATGTTTTTAAATAATCATTAAAAACTTGCTGAAGCAAAGGAAATCAGGATAGGGTATAAGGAATTTGCCTGCAACAGCAGCCCACTTTTCTTTTTCTTTTTTAAACTCTGGGTTACAGTGAGTGAGCCAGCCAGCATGCCTGTGTATCAGTCACTCCCACTTAGCTCCTCCTGCCAGTGGCTTGTCTCTCTCTTGACAAGTTCTTGCCTCTGGCTTGTCTATCTCCAGAAAAGCTAGACTAGTAACTCAGGCTTTGTGCTTGAGTTCAACTCTGGCTATCTGGGGGAGTGACAAGCCGGAGTTCAGGGTTCACAATAATGCTAACCAAGGCTGGGATGTCGCATTAGCTTGCTTAGCCCCTTTCACTGTCAGAAGGAGTCAAGTGGGTGTGGATAGGCTTCTGGTTTACATACTGTAACCTCTTTTTTTTTTTTTTTTTACAAAATGCTTGGTTTTCCACTGTGTGTGAATTCGGCTGTTGTCTGGTTTCAGAGGGATAGCTTTTGGTTTCTGATTTTTGTCCAGTGTGTCTGACTGTCATTGTCTGGCTTAAGTAGAATGCAGTATAACTGACTTAATTGCATAATTTCTTTCCTAGTCTCCAGAGGGTGCTGAAGGCAAGGATGCTGCAAAACTAACAAAGCAAGAGGCAAGTGTGACTCCTTCCTTCATTTTCCACCAACGCTTCCTGTTACTGATGGGTGACTATGAGAGAAACACAGCTACATTAGCACATCTGAGCCTTTTCTTCTACATTGAACTGATGGTGGGTGGGTCAGGTCCAAAATATTTTGTGTATTCTGGTTAAGTTTCCCCTCCCCCAAATTTAAAAGCATAGTAACCCACATTCTGGGTTAATTAAGAAAACATGCCTGTGATCCCATAGTCCGTTTAATGCAAAGTAGACAGCGTCACTTTTTTTCTTTCTTTCTTTCTTTCTTTCTTTCTTTCTTTCTTTCTTTCTTTTTTTTTGGGCAGTGTTTTCTACTAGGTCTACAGGAGGCTAGTGAATCTGACCATTATAAGTCATTAGTTTTTGCTTCGACACAGAAGAGAGAAAAGGGGAGAGTAAAATTTAAGAATCTAACACCCAAAGCAGATATTACGTTAAACATGTAGCTAGCCTCTGTCTTTGTTCAGCTTTCGCTTCAACACTCTGAACACTCACAAAAGGATTATATTAAAACTGAGGCTTGAATCAGTGGTTGATGGTAGTGTTCATGCACAGAAGGATCCCCATTGGAGAAGATTGTCTCCCCAGCCCCACCAGCCCATGGCACATGCCTCCCATTCCCTGGAACACCCTGGGCTTGGAGCCTCCAGGTGTGTCCATGTCTGCATGCCAGAGGACAGGAGAAAAACAGGGTTTCTTTCCCTTGTAGGAATCCCTTGGTGCATAGATACTGCAGCTATGGTGGACTGGATCAAGTGGTAAAGTGATTAATTAGGGCTAGACCAGTTTTCACATTCACATAGTACAGTAGTGACTTTGTGCAAAACATACCACCCTAGCCAAGTTTAACAGTAGCCAGTGTAAGGTGCTGCTATTTTAATTCCTTCTCCTGGGATAGGTTACTGGAAGGTAAGTGAGTTGAGGAGGGGTGGATAGCACTCAAAAGGGAGGTTTTGGAGGCGCAAGCCTTGATGATACCTCTAGTCAGTAAGGTGGGGAGGTGGAGGAGAGTGTTGCCATGGATGCGAAAGGAGGTGGTTAGAGGGATTAGACGAAAGAGGAACCTCGGTAGGAAATGGGTACTGGGCGAAATAGACAAAAGGGTATACTTGGAGGAGGAGGCCCGTTGCAGAAGGATTCTTCGCAAAGCTAAGGCTGATTACGAGCTGAGACTTGCCAAGAATATCAGGAGCAACAAAAAGGGCTTCTTTCAGCATGTAAATAGGAAGAGGAAGGGGAGACAAGTGGTGGGACCACTAAATAAGGAGGAAGAAGATCCAGTGACTGATATGAGGGAACAGGCACAGATGCTAAATGACTATTTTGCCTCTGTGTTCTCCCCAAAGCAGGACGGGAGATATCCACATAGGAGATTAGATGAGGCTGGGGACTTAGGGGCACAGATTAGAGTCACCCCCCCCCCTTGAAGTCGAGGGGCTCCTCAGGGCATTGGACATTACAAAGGTGCCAGGCCCTGATGGGTTACACCTGAGAGCACTTAGAGAGTTGGCAGGGGTTCTCTCATGCCTGCTGGCCTCCATTTTTGAGACCTCGTGGAGAACAGGTGAAGTTCCAGAGGACTGGAGGGTGGCATCAGTGGTCCCAATTTTCAAAAAGGGTAGTAGAAAGGACATGGGGAATTGTAGACTGGTTAGCCTTACGTCCACTGTAAGAAAAACAATGGAAAGGCTCATAATAGAGAGAGATCTGGTGATGCTAGATAGGGAAGGGAGACTGACAGCCACACAACACGGCTTCCACAAAAACAGGTCCTGCCAGACAAACCTTGTGGAATTCTATGACAAGGTTTCGAGATGGCTAGATGGAGGGGATGCAGTGGATGTGGTATACCTGG